AGCCCAAGCAAAGTCGCTGTGTACTGCGCAGTTAGCAGATCGCGAGCATATGCGTGCGTGTGGATGCAAATATGTGCAAAATGTGCCTTTGTTTTTATACCCTGAACCCATTGAAAATGGGAAATCCGGGTATAATGATTTTGTGAAAAAGTATGTAACGGGCAGAAGGAATCATCGCAGACCCCATAAAGTATATATATTCTTGATCAGGATGACGAGTCGATATAGCCCTGTCCGTCGGTCCGTCCGTCCGTATGAGTGCGTCGATCTCAGAAGTTATAAGAGCTAGAGAGCTGAAATACTCGTGTGTACCTTACGCAGTACAAGTTAATCATTTTTTTTCTATAACTCGTCCGACTTACTTACTCGTAATTTTTTTATCGAGAATAATCGAAGAATTTATTTTGTTTTTCTGCCTAATTTGAACACTTTTAGGCCCAGAGACTTCAGATTTACTATGTATATACAGCTGGTCGATACGACACACGCCACATTCGCCCGAAATTTGTAATAACGCATTTCATGTACTAGAGACTTGTGCTTTGGAATGTACACATATTTTTACCAAATGATTACGCTCTTCATTCATTAAGATTGCCCGTCTACAAGAGAAATTATTCAACAAATAAATTCTCATAATATTACCCACACTACAACGTAGCCCAATCGCAGTCGCTGTTAGCTGTGCAGTGAACAGAGCGCGTGATTGTACGTGCGTGTGGATGCGTGTGTATGCATGTGTGCATAAAAGAATGCAGAGTGAATAGAATATCAGCTTCTAGAGTTCAGGGTATCTGCTAGTCGAGCACATAGCATCAAGAGATATTGGTTACTTAGGACAAGGTTGAGTGACTCAACACTTTCGAACCTTGAATTCAGTCCCCCCAAACCAATTTAATTGGACTCAACATCTGCCGCTTCCGCTGCCAAGAAGAAAGTTTACAAAACGAGTATGCGTAGATGCAAGCTGGACCCAAAGTTCACACCTCGTAGAAATATGTTGTTAACCATGTATTTATAATTTATTGTATATTGTATAGTAGTATATTTCATTTTACTTTGAAATTTTAATTTTAAGATATTAGAAAGACATTCAGCTGATGGGAACGCCTGTCCGAAAATACCATATTGAAGTAAGTATGGAAGTCTGAGAGAATATGCTATTTTAATATTTTGAGTTGAATGCTTTTTTCGTTTACTTTTTTCCCATCTTGTTCATTCGTCGTTGGCCCAAATTTTAGCATTTCTTTTAGTTCGGTCCCAGTCCGCCTTTCTTTATTGATAATGCCGATAATGATGTAGCTATGACTCTATGTCCGTGCTTTTTGCTTTATATGTACGTTCGTATTGTAAAGTTGTTTTTTTCTTCGGTTGCATTGTGAAAGCAACTTTTATTCTTGTTTCGCGGAGCTTGTGTCTTGAGTCTCAGCTACGATCAGAGTAAATATGTATTTTGTTATGTATACATGTAGTATTGCAACTGCCAACTGGCCCAGTCAACAAACTAACTGATCACACATTTGCTTTAACAGTAAAGCGGACGTAAAAGAGGATGTAGATAGTGGTGGGTGGTGGAATGAACACTGTGTTACATCCACAAGTCCAATGACATTTTCCTCTCATTTAATCAATAGCCTCGATAGGGTGTCCTTACAGCTATTAATTAAAATTTAAATAAGATTACCATATATTGGAAAAATGGGTCGCAATCGGAAAATGTTATACACAATTGTAGATTATGTAATGTGTGTGCCCTCTGATTGATTGATGATTTGAAAATGGCTCCTATGTATAATACGATGTATATTTAT